GCTCTGTGATTTTACGTGGCCTACCACTTCATGGCTGAGTTGCTGTCGTTCCCAATCGCTTCCACTTTGTTATAATACCACTAACAGTTGACTGTGGAATATTTAGTAGTGAGGAAATTTCACGACTGGACTTATTGCACAGGTGGCATCCTATCACGGTACCACGCTGACCATGTTGGAGTTCACTAAGGTCCTGAGAGCGACCCATTCTTTCACAAATGTTTGTAGGAGTGGTCTGCATGACTAGGTGCTTGATTATATACACGTGTAACCATGGAAGTGGTTGGAACACCTGAATTCAATGATTTGGATGGGTGAGTGAATACTTTTGGCAATATAGTATAGCAGTATACTATTCAGATCTGCTTGCATCATCTTAGGGAGTTGAGCAGCCTGCCCCTTAACTGATGAATAAATTCCTGTGTGTGTGATTTATGCCCAACAGCCACAACCTCTGACATGTGCTGGTGCTGTGTCTAACCTTGGTGTTGTGTTTGTGCAGGAGACGTTTGAGAGAGCCAAGGCCTGGGTAAAGGAGCTGCAGAGGCAAGCCAGTCCTAACATTGTTATCGCCCTGGCTGGGAACAAGGCTGACCTAGCAGAGAAGAGACTAGTAGAGTATGAGGTAACACACCCCTTTCCCAATCCTTCTTTGTGGGCTACAGCTTGAACTGAAACAGAACTGATTACCTTCAGCAATCACTAAAATCTCACTGAGATCAAGGTCTCTTTTACAAGAGAGACCTGAGGACAAATGACAAACACAAGATCACAATGGCAAAATTCATTCATTCGAAACAACCATCACATGGTACTCCAGCCAAAAGGCTGGATTACCAAACTGGATAAAGTGTGAAACAGTCCCAGGGCCTCAGACCCCCATGGTCCCCAGAGGCAAGATTTACCTGTCAGTTACAGTCAAAAATATAAAATATAAGTTGTAAAACTTCAGAGTCTCTCGGGGGAATGGGTGTAGCCACATTCCAGTCATTAAAGGCATGGTACCAAAGACCAGTACAGAGAACAACAACTTTACAGTCTAGGGTTTGACACCACTGGGACCATCAACTGTTTTGTCCCAGTTAATATGATGGGCACTGTGGTTGCTGTAGGTAGCCACATTGTGTAAGGCTGCTTCAGCTTGTGTTGTTGCAATACGTTGCCAGTGCATGTTAAAGAAACTGCACTTCCTCCTCTTTTCACTGAGACTGCAGTGGACCGGGTGGTTCACATGCAAGTTGTCCATTGAGGATATTTATACTATATTAAACATCTAAGGTTCAGCTGTAGAAGGGAGAATCAGGACTTTGCTTGAACGTATTGGACACGAAACACTTTTTTTTACCACTCCTGGGAAAAGTCCTTATAAGTCAGTTGTTGCTTGACTGCTACATTTAAGTAAACCTTGAACAACACAAACCTTTTCTATTGCAGAGGCTGCACTTCACAGGTCAGAGATTTACAGAGTGCCTGCTGATTGTCTTAGTTCACATCCTCTCAGCTTCAGCCTCGTTTATTTTGTCACGCTACAGCTGATGATTTATGTGTCTGTGTGGCACAGGAAGCCCAGACGTATGCTGAAGACACTGGCTTACTATTTATGGAGACCTCTGCTAAGACGGCCATGAACGTCAACGAGCTCTTCCTGGCAATTGGTGATCCCCCCCCCTTGCAGATATCAAATTCGACTTTTTCAACTATTTCTACCTTTTCCCAAGACTTCTAATTTCTCTTGGAATGTTTATTTTCTCCTGAAATAATCCAATTTTTTTTCCTCTTTGGTTGATATTATCATCTCTAAATACTTTCTAGTTACAAGTGGATTTTGTTTTTAATAAAAAAAAAGGCAATATGTCAACTTTCCTTCTAAATGCAGCCAAAAAGATGCCAAAAACAGACACTCAGAACCCCACACACGCAGCACGACATCGGGGCGTCAACCTCCAAGACCCAGACGCCCACTCTACCCGAGCCTGCTGTGGTGGAAACTAGACCTCCACAGCTCTCGCCAGTGTTCCACCATCCACTCCGCCACAGCCCTTCAACCATCCTGTCTCCCTACAGGGGTGGCCCACTCACCTCCTTAACCTCCATTTATCCTCCTGCCCAAGCAGAAAGAGAGTCAAAGGGGAGAAAAAGAAGAAAGGAAGAGCAAGCGGAGGTGGAGAAAGACACAGTACTTCACATCTGTCTCTCTTGACCAACAACTGAGCTTCTGCATTTGGAAACAAAACAAGAGGAGGTGTAGTGAAGGCAGCAAAATAAAGAATGTGGCACGCCTGTAGTAGCATTTAGCACTAATTGTGTATTTTCTTTAGTTTTCACTCTGCCTAGCAATATTTCAATCACAGCCTTGTTTGATTGTGTAAACCGAGCAGCGCACACTAACGAGCGGCCGAGACAGGAAGGGAGGCACAACGACCAGGGTGTAAAGTAAAAATGTTGGGTTGTGGCTGCTTTCTTCTCCTCCTTTGTCAGAGCTCACACCTGTTTGCTTTAACTCCCCCTAGTCCTCCGTCAGTCACATCCTGTTGTAAATAATGACACATATTGTAATTCACCACCCCTCTGTGTCTTGCCTGGCGTCTGGTGTCACTGGCCGACACCAGCTAGGACTCGTGGAACCGTTTGCCCAACATAATCCAGTTTGTGTGCATTTATTATTTGGTGTTTTGACTGCTGGTAGTGATGCTCCAGTGTCTCTGATGCACCTCTTTGTCTGTCCAGGTAGAATCTCAGACTCAGAATGCGAGGCAAACAGTTCATCCTAACAGAGGTCCTCATTGGATTTTTATTATAAGACTGCTCATTCTGCATTGTTTTTTTTCCATAGATATGTTTGACCCAGCACTTACTTGTTTGATGAACAATTGCTGTAAATTTGGTTGATTTTCACTAAGGACAGATATGAAAGCATCACAAGCTGCAGCTTTTACAGCGACTTGATATAAAGTGACATGAATGGATTACATCTGTAGCAGAAACATGTCCCTCAATCCCAAAAGTAGTTCTGCATGATCTATTTGGGGCCTGTAGAAGAAGGGTTAGGGACATAGTGAAAGACAGGAGGATAAGGAAAATGTAATAAACCTGTAACATGCCCTGCAGGGGAAAACCTGCCTGTCTTGTGCTTAATAAGTCTCCTGTGTCCTTTGTCCTGAAGCTGTTAGTGAACATGAAATCCCAGTGATTGTAAATGGTTTTACTGACTCTTAACTGAATATGATGCTCTTAAACCGGAGTCATGGCTGTTGTCCGAGGCTCAGCTGAAGAAAATGATAAAAGAATTGACACACACAAACACACAAAAAAAAAAAAAACAGAAGTGCCTATTCCCAGTTCTCTTCGAATCATGATTGGGGCTTTCTCTGTGCGCTTCCCTGACCCAGAACCCTGTCATTAGGCTACACTGCATAGGCTCTTTGTATGGATGTAAAGGGATTGTGTTGAATACACTGTATGTTATATATTATTGTCTTCATTTTAATTAAAGTGTACCCCCCACACACACACACTTACTTTATATAGCAAGCTCGTCGGCTTACTATATAAAATAAATTACACTCTCATTTGTTCTTCAGTGAACCCAAGTAGAAAATTAAGTTGCCAGATCACTAAAACACGACTTTTCACCTGCACTGTCGTGTTCAGTACATCTGTGAATGGCGCTGCCGCTTTTCTTTTACCTGCCTTGTGCCTCAGACAATAACGGCCACATTCTTATTGTTCTGTTTGCCAAGTGGCTCCACAGTGGTGTACAATGGCCTTTATTCGTTTTATAAAAGGTTATTTTAATTCTCCAGCACTTCAATCACTGCTCTTGTCTTGAAGTAACATGTACAAAAAATTAAATGAAACTCAAAAATCCGTTTTCTAAAATATTCTTGGTTTGGTTAAAATATTTAAAAAAGATGTTTACATTTTAACAAAAGCATTTTCACAGCTGTAATTCCCTCACACTCTGGACATGTACAGTCTGTTTTGGGGGTATTTTAAGAGCTACACTTTGTATAACTCATGGGAAGCTGTGTAAAATGTTTTGCAAGTTTTGCAAATTGATATATATGTAACCAGTGAAGAACTGTACACTCTGTCCTGGCTGGAATGAGTCCTCACCTCACCCTGACGTCTAATCCTGACACTCATCCTCCACTGCTGTATAGATGACCTGGTTCCTGCGTTTGATTCTGGGAGTCGTACCTCTGCTGCCAGGATTGCCAGTCTCATCACTGGTACGTTTTAAGGTGCGTGCAGCAGTGGCATCCTCTTCACCGCCCTCCCTGAGCCCCTCCCTGGGCCCCTCCCTTGCTGCTCCATAGAGAGTGCGGTCAGCTGCTGGGGTCGAGTGGGAGGGAGGTGGCAGGTTCATTAGGGTGGACAGGTGAATGGGCGACACATATTTGGGCGCCGGCAGAACCATGTGGCTGGGGGTGTGGAATTCACCCATGGGGACCTGAGGGAGTTCGTCTTCTACTGCTGCTGGTTTTAGCTCTGCCTCCTCTTCTATCCACTCATCCTCTAATGTGATCTCATCGGGATTCAGTGAACTCGATAACCCTGAGGTGTCAGTCGGATACTCACTGTGCTCGTCCACACTTCCTCCACTATTTCCATCTTCATCCTCCTCCTCTTCCCCTCCGGTGCTACTCTGACCTTGCCGCCGTTCATCATCTCCCTGCCCAACCTGGGCGTAGATGTCTGTGAGACCTAGCGTGGCACACAGCTCAGTTGTCTGAGGATTGATGATGTAGCTGGGGGCCGACTGGGGCTGGGGTCTGCCCGGGTCATAGGGTGGCACGGTCCTGCTAAAGTTGTCTGGAATGACAAGATCACCGCTGAGGTCCTCCACCACCTGCATCATATCTGCCTCTGAAGCTCTGAAGTCCCACCTGATGTTACAGAATATCATCAAAACAGCATGAACTGTTACTATGTAACATCTTTAAAAAAAAAAAAATCTTAAAACATGAATTTGATTTATTTGTTAGTTACTGTTTCCACTGCGCTCTGTGGTATTTTTGTATTGCTATCTTTTGGACCTGCACTGTCTGAGCCTTTATTTCCTCACCTGTATGTAACTAATCGCTGCACAAACTGTCTGTGTATACTGAGTACCTATACTATACTGAGTAATGTTCAACATCTAAATGTTGCCAAACCATAACTGCCCATAGCGGCTAATGTGTACATTCTCCTCAAACAGTAAAGCCTCCAAAGAACTAAATTTGTTTGGACAATGTTGTGATCACTCTGTGCGAATTTGTGTTGTAGCTGAATATCACATGCTGTGTAGACCTATAAACATCATCACCTGATCAATCAGCTGGAACACCTAGAATGCATCAGCTGTTTCCTTGTCACCTGTGCCTGCTCCTGATGATTACAGTAAAACTGAAACCTTGAGAAAACCACCACATCTGTCCTTTTCTGGAGTAACTTTACTCTTATATGTGCTGCTCAATATTAGTGAATCTCTTGATAACTATACCAGTTTGATTACAAGAACAGGTTCAGCTGGAATTATGACAAAACCTGCGTTTCTGCAGTGGGAACCTAATGAGCACAGACTGTATTAGCAATTTAATCAGTTAATCCAAAATGCTGCAGCCAGAGTACTGACAGGAACTAGCAAGAGAGATCATATCTCTCCCATATTAGCTTCTCTCCACTGGCTCCCTGTAAAATTCAGAATAGAATTTAAAATCCTTCTCCTAACATACAAAGCCCTTAATGACAAGGCTCCATCGTATCTTAAAGACCTCATAGAGCCTTATCATCCTAACAGAGCACTTCGCTCTCAGAGTGCAGGTTTACTTGTGGTCCCTAGAGTCCACAAAAGCAGAATGGGAGGCAGAGCCTTTAGCTATCAAACTCCTCTCCTATGGAACCAACTCCCAGTCTCAGTTCGAGAGGTGGACACCGTCTCTACCTTTAAGATTAGACTTAAGACTTTCCTTTTTGATAAAGCTTATAGTTAGGGCTGGAGGTGACCCTGAGCCCTCCTTTAGTTATGCTGCTATAGGTCTAGGCTGCTGGGGGGCCCCATGATGCTCTGAGTTTCTCTCCCCTCTCCTCTCTTCCTATGCTTCTAAGGGGGATTTGTTGGGTTTTCCCTATGTAATAATAGTGATAACAGTAAGGTCTAGACCTTACTTTGTAAAGTGTCCTGAGATGACTTTTGTTGTGATTTGGCGCTATACAAATAAAATTTGAATTTATCAAACAGCTGTTGAACAAGCAGAACATAAAATTGTCAAAGTGATGTCTTCACCACGTTGCCTGCTGTTCACTCACTGAAGTCATCGTTTTACCTCTAAACCAATGAGAGAAGTCATTGTTTACCTCTAAACTAGTGAGTGTGTTTACACATCGTGCTTGTATTCCTAAAGGTTAAGGTGCGAAGATGGTGATATTTAACCAATCACGGGTGACCACTCTGTGAGCACCCTGTGGAAGGAGTGCAACTTTCCTGGAACTCAATTTTACTACTACCTCCTGAGGGGTGCTGAAATTTAGCTCCTGGTTTGCACCTTCAAAGTGGGCGAAGCGCAGTGGAAACAAACGCATAACCTAGTGAGAAGCTGGTTGTCTTTTAGTGTTATCACCAGACTGCTAAGACGGCCTTTCAACCAGTTAAACTCACAAATGCCTGTTTTTGTCTATAGTTGGTACTTGGGTGCACTCTTTCATCTGACTGCACTGGATCTGCCTGCGATCTTACACTTGTTCAGGCACCTGAGAGCTCAAACTTTTACATGTCACTATTAACATTTAATTGTTTAAGTTCATTAAAAAAAGGTGCATTATAACTAGAAGAAAGGCTTGTTTTTTAATGTCTGGTTGCTGCAGGGGTTGCATTTACTTCTTTTCAATTCAGAAATCAAAACAATATGTCACTGGTTTGGGAGTGTCCAAATATCTGCATAGAGGTGGATGTTTGATTATCTGGGTACCGTTGATGCAGGCCATTATTCTCTGGGGGGTTCCAGGGATGAGGAGTGGTCCTCTGTAGACTGTTGGTGGCCTTCAGAATAGCAAGCCATTCGGGATCATACTCAAGACCCTCTGATGAGCCTGGTCTCTCTGGAACATCCACAATCTGCAACACAAGTATAAATATCATTGCTTAGAATTATCACCCCATATGCTGCAGACTGTGACCTTTGTATATATAATCAAGAGAACTTTCTCTCACCTGTAAAAATTCCCTATAGGGCAGACATTTATCCAGAGACAGGAATTTGGTTACACGTGGGGCAGCGTTATCTTTAGGCTAAATACAAGAGAATTCAGTGAGTTGGTTTAACAATAGTAGATTTGATTGGTACCCAGAAATACCAAGACCACAAGCTAAAGTGAAGCAGCAATACAGTGAGCTACAGAAAACTATCACTCTCACCTGATGCTGCATAACAGCGGCAAATTTCACATGAAGATGAGCAGAGAACCAGTAGGTGGGCTGGAGGTGTGTGAGGAGCTCCTCAGCAGCAGGATTTCCCAGAGTGTTGGACTCCACTTCCTGACGCAGAAACCTCTTCTTTCGCAGCAACTCCTCTGTACTTCCATAGTAGTAGATGCCACGAGGCCAGTCATGGGTCATGAAAATGTCTATGGGCATCTGGATCTTAAGAGGTAATAAATGTTTATGAATCAGCAGACAACATTTCGATACATAAATAAGCTGTGTACAAAAGAACAAGCTGAATTTATGTTATTTACCTGTTTTAGTTTGAAAACTTCAATATTTCTGATGTGGTAAACACTTCGAAGCGTATCAGGGTTGTATGGAGGGAATTCATGGTGACCTTAAACAGAACACACTCCTTGTAAATAAACCACACAATGTGAATTATTTCAGCCACTGAAACATCAAAAGACTCACCTTTTCTGTAGTCACAGAATTTGAAGATTCCGGATAAGCCACCAATTCTAATCCCTCTGTAGCGAATAACACCAGCATAACCTGGGGACACATGGTCAAGCCAGAAACCTAAGAGCTAGACAGGTAGGCAGAATATCAACATCTGTTGTCTGCAGGTTCCTACCCAGATAATAAATGTTGGGTGCAACCCAGCCTCCATAGGGCAGCTCCTGCAGATGGTTGGAAGCCTCGTGGTTCCCTCCAATGAAGATGGTCAGCACCGGAGCTGTCTTCTCTCCAGAGTAGTATCTGCAACACAGGCAGTAATATTAAAGCTACAAATGCTCTCACTCATATTGTGCACTTTTTTAACCATTAAAAACAAACAACTGACTTGTAAAAGGTCTGCATCATTCTGTACTTGACTGGTACTGCCATGCACTCCATGTCGCTCTCATTTCTCACTGCTTGAAAGTCTCCACAGCAAAGCAGCAGTTCCACTTTCACCCCTTCCCTCTTCTCCAGGTAGCCAATGGTCTCATAGATTTTATCCAGCTCACCATGGCAACAGCCTTCGATTGCAATCTTCATGCTGCACAAACAGGTAAGCTGCAGATTCCCAGAGAAAATCACACTGAAGTTTAGTCTGTATTCTCCACACACAAAGATGCTGAGGCCTTGGCACAACCAATCACAGTTTGAAGCAGTGGCAATAAATCTTAAACAATCAATCGATTAATTGATGGACAGAACAATAATCAGCAACTATTCTGATAATTAATTGTCATTTTAAAGGAAATTACTGAAAAAGCATCAACCATTCTCTGATTCCAGCCACTCAGACAGAGACTGCTTATCTGAGTGAGCAAAATAGCTCCTACTGTATGGGGTTAAAAGGTCCCTGATATAGTTTGGGGCCTGACCAGGTAACGCCTTAAAAGCCTCCAATAACATATTCACCTTACAAAGAAAAGCATCACATCATCATATTTGTTAAAGCAGAAATAGCAAATATTTTACATTTATTTAAAAATGACATTATTTGATCATCAAAAACATTTGTTGATCAACTAATCAATTACTTGCTGATGGTTGCAGCATTAGTTCCTGGTTCTTCTGTGTTCTACTTGGTCACAAATTGTAATAAACTATTTTTGAATGGTTAATTGAACAAAATATTTGCTTAAGTTACCTTAACCAGTAGAATATTGTGCTAAGAACTTTAACTGTTTTCTAATCTTTTATAGATGACTGATTAGTTAATTGAGAAAACTGATTAATCAACAACTAAAATGATTTTTGCGTTGTTTCAGCCCTAAACCAGTTTCTCAAATTATTGTACTGCTTAGCACAGCGGTGTCATATTGTAATGCATAAATTGTATAAATTTATCAAAGCCTTCGTGAAAAAGTAAACTGAAACGAAAGTAAAAGGAACAGATGCTAACCTGAACAACATTTTTAAAACATTCAATAATAAAATTCAGAGATGCGCCCGGTATTGTGGCACAATAGCTTTGGTCTTTGGCTTCCTACTGATTTGAAAACATCCGGGTACTACCAGACCACAGTTTTTATTATGACAAATTGGGGTGATGTTACTTGATGTGACGTTACCACATATCCTTAGCAATATTTTGTCCAAATCAGTCCGAGTACTAGTGCTGCGTTCGTGACATGTCGTTCATGTTAAAGGTTAAGTGACAAATTAGCCACATATCGAAAGTTGCCTAACTTTAAAATGCAATTTAATTGTTTCAAACTGTTAGTGCAAAACGCAGTAGCATTAGCATAACCTATCATTAGAAATCTGACAGTTGGGAATAAACGTTACTCACATTTTATTGTGTGAACACACAATAAAATTATGTTACAGGTAACTGACACAAAGTAGCCTTAATCGCATCAGACTACACTGTTGACAGCCACCAACGTGGACTACTGCGTGAACGCTCCCAAGTTGCTCCTATGGGAACTATTTCCATCTTCCCCATTCTGCCGACATGACATGAACGCAGCATTTGATCCTGCCACGACGCACAATTAGCACCTATGAAATTAGAATCAAAACATAGTAGGCACCAGCTAGCTAAGATACCATAACGTTACATCGTGTTGACTCGAGCCCACAGCAAACATTTTACTCTCACAAGCATACCAGAGCAAAACAGGCAAACGAACGGTGCACTTATCGCGTCGAATAACTGAAGAATATGTCTGTCAGCTTTTATAAGCTGTAATCCTACAAAGTGTTTCTTAAAATCATTTTTATGTTAGACTCACAAGAGATACAAAAGAAACAATTTTCCCACCTCGATCTGTCGCCCATAGCGCATGCGCGATACGTCACCAACTTAAGTAAACCACTGTTGCTCATCGGCAGCAGATTCCACCTCATATTTCGTTAATGCGTTTTTTGTGTGTTTACTTATTATGTTGTAAATAAATAGATATATTTGGTATATGCTACGTACTGTGCATTGTTTTCCATTTTCCTGTATCCATGAAATGTTTTTATTGATCAAATTATTATATCGAAACTAGACACATCATCTACGTCACATTTATAAACAAAATTTACCTCATTGACAAATTCAGTATTTGTCAGACAGCTCGCCAAGTTAGCGGTGGTGTATGTTGTTGTATAGCTACTGGCATTAATTACAACCGAGCTTATAGTGGAGTATAGTGACCTGTTTTTATAATAACGCTAGCGAGGAGCTAAGCGATTGAGGTGCAGCTACTTTTTAAAAGCCACTCACAGCTACTCTGGGGGGTGGAGTGTCTGTAAAGTGCTGCGCCGATTGGGGCGCTCGATTCGGGGAAGAGAGATGTCGTGCTTGTTGGAGGCCCCTCTCCGCATCAGTGTGCTATCTGTGAGTATCACTCACATAGTTTCAAGTAGCATTGCCAAATGTATACAAGGGTCACTCCAAGTGCGAGCGGCTATTATAATTTGAGTAATCACATGAAGCCATGACCTGTCAAACTATGAAAGGTTTGGGTGTTCTATTAGCCTGCAAGCTAAATTAAAGGCTTTGCAACATGTAGCACTGAAGCGGTGCGTCTACGTAGTTATTGTTGAGGTTGGTTTTAACCAAATCTCTCCCCGATAGGCGGGGGTGCTTTGAACATGTGAAGGGATGCACGCGGGTAATGCCCGTTCGTCCCGTCGGTGTATTGTGAAGACTAATTCAAACGAACCTAATACCTGTCAGTGTCACTCGGAATGAGTTAGCAGCTAACGGCTGTAGTAAGAGTGCTTTCACCACTTTCGAAAACAACCAAACATGTTTAGGGAATACATAATACACAATCGCGAACAAGTTGCAAGAATACGCGTTTTATTCCAACCATATGATATTATTTGCCCGTAATTATTACATTTTACTAATCGCGATGGCAAACTTAACGTTAAGCTAAGTAACGTTAGCTAACCACTAGCATACGGTTAAGCTAACGAAGTACTGGGCGCCTAAATAGCCTTACTTCAACAGGAGTTTTTGGTGGCGTGAAATTAGCTCTGTCAGCAGCCAAAAGACTAGAAATTACTATGGTTTTGTAATTTATTCCAGCAGGTGACCGTGGCTGCCAGGTGTAACTTAGCGAAAGTTAACGTTAGTTGGATGCGTAATGAAAATGAACATACTTTGGATTGCTGTGGTGAAGCCCCTACCCATTAGGAACATCCAGAAAGGAGACTGTGCTGCAGGCCAAGAAATAGACTTTACCTCGCCCCAAAAAATACTCTCTAATGTTGGGATCAAATTCTAATCTTATGATATTATGTGAGGCTGAGGTACATAAGCAGCTTCACTGTTGTATTTGCAAATATTTATGCTAAACATACTATGAAACAGATAAAACACACACAGATACAAAAAAAAAAGATTATTAAAAGCAGCTTCTTGGAGTTAGAGTGTGCTGAACACCTTGTCAGCAGCTTGTTGACACCACAAGTAAATAGCAGCAGCCTGTTGTCAGCTGGGAGAGGTTTACTACTCTGGGCTCTTGTGGAAGGTTCTGGTGAAAGCTGTCAGTGATACAGTATAAACAAAGTTTTTCTGGTGTCACATGCAGTCACTGGGAACCATAGGTGACAACTTTTAAAGGGTCCTGCCATGGGTGCTGCTGTGTGTCATTATCTGCAAGTAATTTAAAAAGTTTTTAAAGTTCTATGATTAAAGGATTGATTTAATATACAGTAGTTTGTTTTGCTAGTAGTTTTTCTTAAAATTCTTTATTTTCCATCTCAAAATATTCCTAACACATGGTCTGACAAATGTCTTCCCTCAGCTTTTTAAATTTAGTTTGTAGATAAATTGATCTTATATGAAAACAACACTAAAATGTGCACAGTATTTTTGTCATTTTCTGTGTATATGTAAGAGAGAAAGGGAAAGGCATGAGAATCCCTCACTGAAAAATTGTCAGTGAATTTTGTCAATAATGTTTGTTAAATTTGTCCTCCTTCAGGAAGTCACTGCCACTAGCCGCCATTATGTTGACAGACTGTTCGACCCCGACCCACAGAAAGTGCTTCAGGGAGTCGTGTAAGTCCACAAGCACTCAATATATACTGTATATGTATGTTGTTGTCACTTATGCAAGCAAGGAAATAATATTGTTGTGCAGTAAATTAACAGCCTGTGCCTTTGCTACCTCACCAGCTGTTTTATTGGAAGAGTGGAAATTTCATTCAACCAGTGTGTTTTCAGCACACTCAGAGGTTTTATTCTTTTCTTGACAAACACTGATGATGATCCTGCAATGAAATGCACTGGTTGAATGAAGTTCACACTCTTCCAGTAGGTCAAATATCACGCACAGATCTTAAAGTATTTTGTAGAAAACATTAGTGGTGGTGCTGTGTCTGTAGAAGCATGACCCCTGTGTTTACATGCACAGGCTTTCATGTGATGATCTATTTCACATTCTACTGCCCAGTGCAACGTCATCTCTCTCACTCTGTCTCAACTGTGGTGACCTGGACTCTGACTATTTCAGGAGACTAGCTCTGGTTGCGACTTGTACCGCTCCATTAGTCAAGCACCTGACTGACTTGACTGCTTGCTGCAGCTGTAGATTTCCACTAGCTTTGCTCACCTGTTACTTGATATCATCTGGGGGACTTGCAGAGCAGAGGAAATGCTGCTTAAATACATTAAGTATAAATGAACAGGCCCTTTCTGTATCCTATAAGATAATATGGTACATTAGATGATGTCGCTCATGACCTCTGCTGTGCCTTCATACTGCCCATACCAATCTCTCAACAGTTGACTGTTAGCTAAGTTTGTCATCAGAGTAAACCACTGGCTGAAATGCATATTTAATGACATACAGTGTGCTGCACATAAAGCGTGTTTCTTACTTTTAGAATCAAAGTTACTTTTTCTGACTCGTTCCAAAAGAATATCAACAAGAATAAGATGTGAAGCAGGGGAACATAAATGCTGGATTGTTGCTCAGTAGGTCATTCTGTACCCTTTAATATCAGAGCAGGTACTTGCTATAGAATGCAGTTCCCAGATTATTACCTCTTAATTCCCTAACTTCACATCTAGTTCTCTTGTAGCTACACGTACATTGGTACATATTACACTGGTACATCAGTACACTGACTGTAAACTGGGATGAAGTACGCTGTATCCACATATAGATGTTGTTAGTCATTATAGTGAAGCCTATTAAAGGTACTTCAAATGCATTACTGAGAAGGTAATCATCTGTGTGTGTGTACATGCCTGACTTCACAGTGACATGAAGAATGCTGTTATAGGAAACAACAAGCAGAAGGCCAATCTGATTGTCCTTGGAGCTGTGCCCAGGTACAGTATATATCATGGTTTACAGTTCTGTGTTAAATCTACACAGAGCCTAAGCCATAGGTTACATTAAGTGGTCTACGCCACTGTGAGCATTTATAAGGTGACAAACGGAGTAGGTCATATTGGAGTTAACACTAATTGTTGTGGAACAGCAGTTATTTGTACTGAAATGACTGCAACACAGATAAGAGAGAAGACCTTGGAGGAGATGGTCTGTATGAGCATTGAACCAACTGAGGCAGAATGAGGGGGATTTTCCGTGCTTATCCGGCCACTGAGGGACATGAATGAGAAAATGTGATGTAACCAATCACAGTTGTTGTTGCCCGCGTCGCCATGATGTGCAGTTAAATTTCTGGAGAGGTGCACGTCAGGCTACGGCCTAGGGGATGAGGCTATGTTACCAACACCGTAGGTACGTTGTAGAATTAATGCAGAACCATAAATCAAGCTTATCTCTGCACACCTTTCCACTTCCTCCTCTGGTACATCAGTACACCCGGTAAACAAAATGCTTATAGGATAACGGTGCCTGCAGTCCACATGTTGATGAACTCAACTCAACTGATGGCTCCAGCCGTCAGGGGCGGGGGGGGCGCAAGTGTCTTGCCCAAGGACACTTCGACACGTGGACTGCAGGCAGATTCGAACCTTCAACCTTCTGGTTGGGAGACGACTGCTCTACCCACCACACCACTGTGGAAACAAACTTTCCTATTTGTCAAAGCTACAAATTACAGCTTGCTCAGTTCATCTTCCCTGTAACTTATAGGTTAGTTAGCACATTGTACAGGGAACTTCAGTGTGCGTGTGTTTGTTTTTTGGTTCCAGGTTACTGTACCTGCTCCAGCAGAGCTCATCCAGTCTGGAGCTACGGACCGAGTGTGCCGTAGTGCTAGGCAGCCTGGCCATGGGCACCGAGAACAACATCAAGTCCTTGGTGGACTGTCACATCATCCCTGCTCTTCTTCAAGGTTGGAGAACAAACACCTTGACCATACATGCATATATTTACTGTACAGGACAGCAAATTTGGTGACTTGAAGAGAGACAGACCTATGCAGTACTGTGCCTGTGTTTTGTGCTTGTAGGTCTCCTGTGTCCAGATCTGATCTTCATTGAAGCTTGTCTTCGATGCCTCAGAACGGTTTTCATCAGTCCTGTCACCCCTGTGCAGCTGCTCTATACTGTAGGTTGTCTTGGACAGATTCTGCTTAAGACCTCACGTATCAGCCTGGCAGGCATTTAATAACAAGTTCCTGTAATTACATATTATGTAAATGTAAAGATTTAAGTTTATTGTTTATTACAAGTACGTGTTCTTTGTTTTTAGGACCCCACTGTGATTCCCCACCTGATGTCTCTATTGAGCCGCTCACAAAGAACGCAGGAGTACATCACACAGATCTTCTCCCACTGTTGTAAGGTATTTGTTGGTATTTGTTCACACACAAGTACAACAGAGTGAATCACACTTGTAGCCAGACCAGGATTCATTGTTACCTGGACATTTGTTGTCTCCAGACCCCAGAGCACCAGACGGTTCTTTTCAACCATGGTGCTATCCAGAACATTGCCCCTCTGCTTAATTCACCCTCTTATAAGGTATATGCCCTACTCTTGCTGAGTGTGTCTGTTTACCCAGTTGGATGATACACTCTTTAGTGCTCAGTAGTTACATCTGTATGTCATTTTTCTCCTTCCACCCTTACTGCCTCTCCAGGTCCGGATGCAGGCGTTAAAGTGTTTCTCAGTCCTGGCCTATGAGAACACTCAGGTCTCAGTGACACTGGTGAATGGTAAGGAAATTTTTCTTCTTGTCTTTTCTCGTCTCGTCTCGTCTCGTCTCGTCTCTGACTTTGTCTGTTGTTGTTATTGCCAGTGCTGGTGGATGGCGAGCTGCTTTCTCAGGTATTTGTCAGAATGATGCAAAGGGATCAGCCCATTGAAATGCAGCTAACAGCAGGCAAATGGTGAGTTGCATAAACCCACACGAACTATTATTCATTATTAATATGACTATTTGCTGTATATTTTTCCTTCAAATGTGCTGTCTTCTTCTTCTGTCCCAGTTTAACATACATGTGTCGAGCAGGTGCCATCAGGACAGATGACAGCTGCATAGTCCTAAAGGTCAGGTTTTTCTGAGACCTATTCAGCTGGTCTTTTTAAGTTATCATTAGCACATTATATTAGTGGCACCACTTTATTTAATGGCCTCTGACCTGTTTTTAATCCAGACGCTGCCATGCCTCGTGCGAATGTGCAGTAAAGAGCATCTGCTTGAGGAGAGGGTGGAGGGTGCAGAGACACTGGCCTACCTGATGGAGCCCGATGTCGAGCTGCAGAGGATTGCCAGCACCACTGACCACCTGGTGGCCATGCTGGCTGACTACTTCAAATACCCCAGCTCTGTGTCAGCCATCACTGACATCAAAAGGGTGGGTCAGGCATCCATCAGTTTTAAAGATGTCACTTGCTGACCTTGTGCATCAGTTTACTCTCTCTGCCCTGTCTGTCACTGCAGCTGGACCATGACCTGAAACATGCACACGAGCTGAGACAAGCTGCTTTCAAACTTTATGCCTCGTTAGGCTCAAACGATGAGGACATCCGCAAAAAGGTGACCTTTCCTTGGGTGTAATTTGGTTTGCATGCTTAATTTTGTACATGTTTATATTCGGATCCATCCTGTTTTCATTGTTTCTTCAGATCACAGAGACAGAGAACATGATGGACAGAATAGTCAGCGGATTATCAGAATCGAGCATTAAAGTCCGTTTAGCAGCTGTCAGGTACAGTGCAAAGCAAGTCTCTTACTACACTGATGATGGCACCAACATTGGTTTGACTTGTCGCCTGCTCTAGTCTCCTTTAGAATAGTGATTGGGATAAAAAAATTTCTGTCCAAACCTGACGCAGTGCATCCCTCGTGCTTGACTCTGATGAGTCAAAATGTCAAGTCTCCCCTGAACAAAGCAGACAATTAAGTGCTTCAGCCGAATATTTGTTTGGATAGTCAGATTTGTTGGGTTTTCCTTATAAAAGTGTAATGTCTAGACCTTTTAATGTAAAGTGCCCTGAGATGAATGTTGTTGTGAATTGGCACTTTGAAATGAACTAACTAGAATTTTGGCCACACCACTGAACACAAATATAGTTATGCCTATTTAGTGTAAAGTTTGACCTACGTGACTGAATCCTGCCTGAACATGATTTCTACATTTAGATTTGGGCGTCCACCCTCTAGTCCCCATACAGTACCAAGGATTTTACATTTGTCACAGTTTTATAATAGTCTCAAATCTGAATGATGCATTCAACTTTTAACTGGCTGAATTTCTACTAAATAACATGTAACTGTGACTAAACTCTCACTTATGTGTTTTTGTTTGGTTTTGTCTAGGTGCCTTCACAGTCTTTCACGATCGGTGCAGCAGCTGAGGACCAGCTTCCACGACCACGCTGTGTGGAAGCCCCTCATGAAGGTCAGTGGAGTTTGAAGGAAATCCTGTGACAATATTTTACTTAGCCCACGCAGCAAATCCCATTTCTGTACTTCTTAGAGCAGAAATTGTATTTGGATACTTGTCCCTTTACTTGGCATGTGCACAGCTGTGTGAATGTGAAAATAAGTAAATGCCTATGAAGTAACCTGGTGTGCTGCTGCTGTACGTAGTTGTTGCAGAATGCCCCAGATGAAGTCCTGGTCATGGCATCCTCTACACTATGCAATTTACTACTGGAGTTCTCACCCAGCAAAGAGGTACACACTCACACACCTTCTCATACACATGTACTTAGAGTAATGAGGTTGTACTCCACTAAAGTGGCTATAGGCTAATCGATATTTTTATAAAAATATCTGACGTTAGTCGTAGCGATGAACCTATAGAGAATCTGCAGCGCCCCTCAGCAAATTTTAGCTTATTGTGTAGCTGTCTGGCCAGCACCTTTACTGTTGTATTTTGTAGCAGAGAAGATGCTCTAAACAGCCGCTTTCCACAACCTGCTCAGTAGCAAACAGCAGACAGACACAGTCTAAGACAAGCTGGTGAATAGAGTGGAGCATTTAGCAGCTAAAGAGCCAGAAACTTCCCCCCAGAAGTGGTGGAGACTTAAGAGGGTTTTCACATTAGGCATGATTGTTTTGTGCCATGCCCAAGCAATATTTCTCCCCCACAGGTCTGCTTTCACATTAGAAACATTGTTCCATGCCCCAGCACGTTTGCGTATGTACACAGTCGATACAGGTGGTAGCAGTATGCACATGGCTGGTTTGCAATCCACCAAGAAAAAGGATAAAGATAATCACCTTTATTTGGCAAAGCATGTTAGACACACAAGGAATTTGTTTCCGGTACAGAACTGATGGCAGCCATCTGCGGTGCCAACTCACACCAATGGCTCTAACCATCGGGGGCAGCTTGTGGTTCAGTGTCTTGCCCAAGAACACTTCAACGTGTGGACTGCAGGCACCGTGATTCGAACCTCCAACCCTCCGGTTGGGAGATAACTGTTGGCGAATACTTCCTTAAATTTCATAGTTTTTGTGTGTAGTATTCACTTGTCTTTGTATGTTTTTGTTGGCTCAAATTTCATGCAAGCATTTTACTTTGTCAATCCAGAGAGATCTTTTCGCAGCCATGTTTGTTATCTGAAAGAGTCGGATAGTTACAGTATAACATAGCAGCCCACTTCCATGTTTAAGCATGGTTGCGTTCACATGTCCCGTGGACCGTACACATGAATCATGCTTGAGACCACCTCTTCAAACAGACTTGGGCATGGTGCCCGATTCTGGTACCCTTGTGTTTACACTGATCAAAATGAACTGGACTTTGGGGTCAAGTGTATTCAGTTCTGGGCCTGGGTCTCTAATGTGAACCCACCCTAAAAACAACTACAGCTATTTGCTAACCTCATTACCATATCAACTAGAAAGATCAACATGTCAGTATAGTGTTGACAGCTTGTTTCTGCTGCCCCTGAGTGGTCAAAACCTCAGCTATTGCCATTCAGTATTAAGTATATGTTACTGTGTGTGTCTGCAGCCCATCCTGGAGTCAGGGGTGATTGAATTACTATGCAGCCTGACCCAAAGTGACAGTCCTGCACTGAGGGTCAATGGAATCTGGGCTCTTATGGTAAGAAGAGGATTTTAAAGGTGCAGTATGTGAGATTTAGTGACATCTAGCGGCAGGGTTTGAGATTGCCACGTTTAGCATGTATTTAACAGCCCTCACAGGGATTAACATAACTGTAGGACAAATTGTGCAGCTGCCTTGACCAAGCCAAAGCTAACAGCAGCTCACTTGACTGCAGCGGGTTACCCAACACTGGCCATGTTCTGCCTAAAACTTTCAAAGCAAAACTTGAATTTAGTTTAACTTTACTGCAAAAAACTGAATCCACATTGAAAAGTGCGTCGTGAGCCGCATGTTGTGTCTTTGTCATCAAAACGGTTGTCTGTCTGTTGGCAGGAGAAAGGGTCTTCACCAGGCAGACAGACAGCACAAATGTGCTGGACAAAAATAGTTTTCATGTAGGCTTGTCAGGAAGAAATCCCTTATTTATGTAGCCTATGGATGTATTGATTTGTCTCTGCTCTACACAGGGTGAAAGTGAAAGTGAAACTCAAAGCAACCTGATTGAGTCAGCTGTAGAGCCAAGGAAAATCAATAAAAATGGGATTTCTGCTGTTGTCCAGTAGATTTGTGCTCATTCTAAGCTAAATAAAATGCAACAGTTCTTATTTTCTGGTGATCACACATTAATGAAAACATAATTATGCATACTATAGCCCATTTCTGCTAATGAAACTTTCTAGATCTTACACACTGCACCGTTAAACCTTATCTTGACAGACTCCTTTTACAATTCAGGCTTTATATGACCAACAAGGCTTCGCAAAGATCAGTGAACTTGTGACTGTGTTTCAGGGGTTGTGCATGTTTAGATATTATAAATTTATCAATTGATCTTGTTCTTTACTTGTCTCCAATCCCCTGCACAGCTCTCACTATCTACTGTGCCATGTTTAAAGTAGTCCATATAAAGTTCTTGGTTAAAAGTGATGTCAGTTGATTTTGACATTGTCACACCCAAAGTTATTCTGCCAGATCGTTTCACTTCAGTACAAAACATTTGTGTGTTAAGAACATGGCGTTCCAGGCAGATCAGAAGGTGAAGGTGGAGATAGTTCGGTGCTTGGGTACAGAACAGTTGTTCCGCCTGCTGTCAGACCCCGACACCAATGTACTCATGAAGACCCTTGGTTTGCTGCGCAATCTGCTGTCAACACGTCCGGTGAGGCGCACACACACACACACACACACACACACACACACACACATGTGATAAGAGACTTAAAAAACAAACAAAAAAACCATTATTGCCCAGTAAATGAAAGCTTCACATGGGTGCTGTCTTGTGTCCATATTGTTTGGACAATAAAATAATAGCTTTGAATGTGCAGAATGTACAGATCATTGAAGTACTGGTGATAAGACAGAACCGACTTCAATATATGATCAACTTTAGTGTAAACCCCCTTTTTTCCTCTTTACCACAATTTTAACATCCTTACATAAGTATTGTGTAGCCAATTCAGTCAGAACAGAGTGGCCTGATCCTGCCCTATTGGAGAGAATTTTCAGTTGGAATAAGAGGGGAGGTGTAAACCTTTGATAATCTGTTCAGTAGGAAAATATTAGCCATGCGAACATTTGATCTGATCGCCTGTCTTGTTGGAATAAATGTATCCTTTCTGCTCATGTTTGCCATATGTAGGGTAACAGTAAGTGATTCCCAAGGACAGAAACATGGCCTCAGCAAAACAAACTGATGTGTGGCCATACTGTAGGTGTAGTGCTGCCTGAGCGAGAGTGCAGCAAAATGATGCTCTCCCTCTGTTTTTTCCCCTTTTACTCCAAGTGATGATAAAGAATGTTCACATACTCCAGCTGATATTCATATACATCAGGGGTTTTCAACTAAATTGTGACCCAGGAACCACCATTCTGACTAGAAAGTAGCCTGAGGACCACTGTTGTGGGGTGGATAGAGCAGATGGTTACTATTGTAATCCTGAAAGTCATCTTGGCATTTCTACTGTAAATTGTACATATCTGTATGAATCTGATTATTCACAAACAGTAATACATGGGAATTAGTTTAAAACAAAAATAAAAAAATAAGTCCTACAATGAAACGTTATATTGAATGCATGGTCAGGGACTACATGCAGTGCCTTCATGGACCAGCATGGGGCTACAGACCACTGGTTAAACTCCTGATGTACAGAGTAAAGAGCCAGTCATCAGTAAAGCTGTGTCTTTGCAAGAAAACCAGTCAAAACAAACGGAGTGGTAGCATTTCAGCAATGCAGTATAGCTGTGTCGTTAACTAATAAAAATGACAGCCCAGCAAAATATCCTGCCATTTTTTGGAACAATAAAGATGGTCAAAGTGAATGATTACGCAGCCACCATGGTTAGCTAACGGGTTGTTTACATGTAGTGCTAGCAAACACCGATGACAACATAACGCAGGTGGAACCACTTTGCACATGTCAGAAAGGTTGTTCTGAAGGAATGCTTTGAGCATGTAAAGCGGTGATCAGTGTCCATGTAAACGGTTAAGTTGGACTCTCTAATGTCCATGTAACCGCAGCTAATGATAGACCCTCTGGTATTGTCTGGCTCCATCTCATTAAAACATTCAAGCGTGTGCACAAAAACACCTACAGGAGTAAAGCAGCCTCCCTGTAGGTTTCAGTGCTATGATAGGTCTGTACATACTGTACCCAATATAGCAGCCAGTGAATGTATATAGACTGCATTGGCTTGCAGGTTGATTCAGTGATGTCCCATGTGGGCTTTCCTGTGGCTCACAAGAAGGTTGTACTAACTGCCCTTCGCACCAGCCTCCATACATTCTCACCTTCTCTGTAGACATGAATACGTGACATGGAATACACTGTCCAGGAATCTAAACTACAGTATACATACTGACTCGCTCCTGCTTTCTGTCTGCTCCTGACTTGTCACATCATCAGCACATTGACCAGATCATGAGCTCTCATGGGAAGCAGATCATGCAGGCAGTGACCCTCATCCTGGAAGCAGAGCACAGTATAGAGGTCAAAGAACAGGTGAGCTCTCCTCTGGCTTCATGCTTACAAATGCTTTCCAGATCCACAGCTACATGAGAAACCTGCACTGCAGAGTCATTTTAACACCCAGCACATATTATAGGCTATCCATCTGGGATCAGTGTTTATTCGGTGGTATTTGTAGAGCAGGAAGCACATCAGGGAGAATCCGTTGGCAGTCTAGTTTTTGTTGCCCTGAATCACAAAGAGCAAAATGTTCAAATAACAGCACTAATGTAACACTAATGATTCTTTTCTGTCAGACGCTGTGCATTCTAGCAAACATTGCCGATGGAAACACGGCCAAGGAACTCATCATGACCAATGACGACATGCTCCAAAAAATCAAATACTACATGGTACTTTGCATAACGCAGCTCAGCCTTGTTCTCTGTTGATCAGATGAAATGTTTGCAGTTTGTTGCACAACTGAACACTACACTGTTACCCGTTTCATAGCAGTTTGACATCGTATTGAGGCTTTTGTTCTGTTTTTCTCACTTGTAACTTTTGCTTGTTACCACAGGGGCATTCGAATGTGAAGCTGCAGCTCGCTGCCACTTTCTGCATCTCGAACCTTATCTGGAACGAGGAGGACGGTAGGGGACACATCACACAACTGGAAGGATCAATAAAGGAAGGAAGGGGAAGAGAGGAGGGCTGATTTTTTTTTTTTCCATTATCAATTAATTTGCAGATTTTTTTATTTTATTTTTTTAATTGTTAGGTCAATAAATGTCAACAAATGGTGAAAAACAGTCCAAGAGCCCAAGGGTCCAGTCCAAAACCCATAGGTATTTACAGTATGTGCCTAAGTATTATATGACAAAGGGAAGAAGTAGATCCTGTCTTTTGGACCTGACCTAAAACTGTCTTGTGGGAAACTTACCTGAACCTGACGGGCATAAATTAAGTTTCAAACTAGAGAGACCTGATCCCAGGCAGACTCGAGAGTAAGCAGACCTGACCTGAAGATAATTAGACCGGATCCAAATTGTGAGTGACCTGAATAGAGAGAGACACGCAGCAGCTTGAAGCCTTTTCATTCAGTTAGATCAGTTAACATGCAGCTGTGGTAGAAAAGAGCAGCGGTATAATGAGGTCCTCAGAACAAATGTAAAGTCATAGGAACTAAAAACAATTTCTTATACATTTCAGAGACATTCATCCACATAATGTAACATCCTAGTTTCACCACCTGCACCAGCGATAAAACATTCTGCAGCCGACTGAGTGATCAATAGACAAATGTTCCAATGGGCTTAACTTCTGGGAATCAAATTCCAGAGAACTATCATTTAACAGCAGAAATCTCGTAGGCTCGACTTTAGTTCCCTTATCAGAGCCAGCAGTTCCCAGGCCTCATCCTTCCTTTCACATGATACTGTGCACACTCGGGTCCATTTGGTACTGAACATACTGACACACAGACTGAGACAGACAGACAGGCAGTAAAACAAAACCCGGCTTGGTTAGGTTGAGCAGAATTTGGACCCAACTTGTCTCAGGTCCTGTGTGTTGTAGCTCTGTCATTGCTTCACTGACATCCTTCACAAAGCTGTCGTGGAACATGCACGGTCACGGAACAGGCACACACAAGCTGTTTTGCTGTGATAAAGTGAACACACCTTGAGAAAACCTCCAAACCATCCACACCACCTGCTCAGTTTAGAACAACAAGAATCATGCGTTGTCTGCGCTGGATAATGAGGTGAATCTTTCAGAGCAAAGTGAGCTTGTCTGCAAAACACTGAGATTCAGGGGCTTTAAATGCTTAAAGAAGTTACAAAGAGGAACTCAGAAAACTTCAGAACAGTTCAGTTAGCACAAAGCTAAAGTTGGGTTGTACTGTAGATGTTGGACTGAATGAACGTTGCTCTGCTTTCTGTGTGACATCAGGTTCTCAGGAGCGTCAGGACAAGCTGAGGGAGATGGGCTTTGTGGACATTCTGCACAAACTCACCCAGGCCTCTGACTCCAACCTTAGCGACAGGTGGGCCACAGTAGCAAATCACAGCAACCTCTCATCAAACATTTCATAAATGGCTGAGCAGAGTGTGTGTGTGTGTCTTGCTTAGGGCGAAGACGGCACTGCAGCAGTACCTAGCGTGACCTCTACTGACAGCCTAACAATCCCCGGGAGGACGCCTGCCACTGGTTCTGCTTTCTTTTTGATTTAATCTTCAGGCTTCTTTTGTTGCACGACGACACCTTTTGTGGACCTGTGACCGGCCTCCCCTCACACCCCCACTCAGTACCACCAACTTGACAGACTTGTTCACTCCAGACCTGATCCTGGAGAGTTTGATGCTGTGGTTGTTGAGAAAACAACGGTTTGGAGGGTTTTGCTTGTTTTTCCTGTTTATTTTCTTCATCAGTGATGAAGCAATTTTTTTTTTTTTTTCCTATTTGGGACTTTTTTTTCCTGTCTCTTGGAGTGCAGCAGCCTGGCCGCACCGCCCTGGTGCTTTTGGACTCCTGACTGTGGGGCTTCTGGTCTCGGAGAACCAGACGACGAACATCTGACATGAGCACGGCTGTGAGACAGCTAAGCTTTGCAGTTTTGTTTTTGAATTTTTAATTCTAATGATATTAAAGTTTCCTTAATGCAAGAAAGAACACATTTAGAGAAACACAAACTGCCTATTTTGGGTGTTTTCTGTTTTTTGTGGATACATACCTCGTAAATATATTA